AACAGAAGTTTTGCAGAGCATGAGAACAGATACAGATTTAAAAGGAAGAGCAGCAAAGAGAAGGGAAACAACCATGGATTACAGTAAGGCACACATTACACTATTGTTTTATGTTAAAAAATCTGAGGGTTTCATGTCACTTTAAGCACAGGTCATTATCAGAAATCCCCCCAAAAAGATACTTATTCCACAGTTAAAGACACTGGGCTGAGCTGTACTGAAAGTAATATTAAAGTCAAAAGGATTTTAGGCTATTTTAAATGTTGATTATGTCACTTACAATGGATGCTGCTCCTTGATGTATAACAGTTTTAGTTTCCTGCAGAATAGGCTGGTTTCATGAGCACTGGCCCTGATCTCCTGTTTTAGGGTGGGTCCTTTCCCTTGCAGGGTCCTCTGGAAACACTCTTGTGTGTGCTAGTAAGCTGTGTGTGTCCACAGGCAAGTCACTTCCCTCTCCTCCCCTCTCTTCCTTCCTCGCTCCTTACTCCTCCCTTCTCCAAGCTAGTAGATGGGCAGTTGCTGGAGACTGCTCCACTCCTTATGATGTACTGGGCAGGAATTTTAGAGAATCCTAGCTGGGAGAATGTTGCTGGAGCTGTTTGGAAACTTGATGAGTGTAAGTGTTTGGGCAAAAATGTAAAGAAATATTTTGCTTGACAGCGTGTATTTGTTTGATCTGAATTCATTATTGAAAACAATTTTGAGAGTTGATGCTCCTGTGACCAACAGCATGTCTAAAACCACTGGTCTATAGCCAAATATTGTAGAGACATTCCCAATTACATAGAGCCATTTATTCCCATTACATAGCGCTGTTTCTGGCCTGTTGGCCATCATTCAATAGTATAAAAAGTGAGGTTAAGGTAAAGTGGGTGAAAAGTGGCCAAAAGGATCTTTTCTTTAAGGTTTATACTGTACTTGACCAGTTACGCTAACTTAATTTGACAAGTTTGCTAGGGTACTATAAAACTGAAGATGGACATGAAATAAGCCAGGGTGCATAGGAGGAAAATTGCGGTATGCAAGCATCATATCCCTCAAATTGTTCAAATAATGGCAAATGGCTGATCCAGGAATCCTTTCAAATAATGATTTTGTTTCCTTTGCAGTTATCCATAAACTCCTGCATTAATATCGCTTTGGCATATTGTATGCCTCTCCTATAAATTATATTTCTTCTCCAATGTTTGCAGTTACTTGGCTGGTATTGCATACTAGCAAAACTGGTCTTCTTTATTGTACTCTCTTATCTGTATAAAGAAAAAAAACGCTTAGGGCCCGTTCACACCGTAAAAGCAGAACTCCAGGCAAAAATGTTCTTAACTCTTACAGTGGGGCTACCCTCACACTGCAAGGTCTAAGTGCTCGTTTTTATCTAGGTGCTACAAAATAAAGATTATACTTACCCAAACCGTGGAGCCGGCTGACTGCTAGAGTTAAGAGTTATATCCTTTTTTGCCATTGAGGAATATATATAAATGCATGTTTTTTTTTTTTTTTACATCCAAGTTTTGCTTTAAATATAACACTGAAAATGCTATCAGTGCCCTGTCAATGGGCAGAAAGGTGAAGCAGCACACTGATGGGCTCATCTCTCTGTCACTCTGCTCTATCCTATCAGCATGGCCCTTGCAATGCAGGACATGTAAATGGCTTCTTGTGTGTTTTTTTTCCTCCCCCTCTCTGAGCTCTGCTGTACCAAATACAAGAGTGCAAAAGACTGCGGTGGCAATAACTTCTAAAAGCAAATTTAGTTCCAGAGCAGAGCGCATCTTTGCAGCTCCAAACACCATGAAGTATCTGCCCTAGAGCTAACACTGCTTCCTAATAGGGATGAGCTCCAGTTTAGGCAGAACCTAGTCTGAACATGAACTCCTTCAAACGCAGCCTTACATGGCTACATGGCAGTAGTTGGTCCATGACATGTGACCATATAAGTTCATATAAGTTCAATGATGCAGCACAAGCATCCCACCCCTTTGTTTATGTGCATGGCAGGGAATGCCCAGGCTCTCAGCTGATTGGGCTGGTGGCCTCATGGCACTTCCAGGTTCAGAGGAGCTCCAATTCATACCAGGTTCAGCCCGAACCTGAGCTCATCCCTAAACCAATCAATTCCCACCTCCAGCACTTGACTGGGACTGCAGCTATGTCAGGTAAAAGTGATGTAACAGGTTCCCTTTTGAAGTGCACAGTGTATTGGCCTTGTGCTGCTCTCTCTGCATGAGACGTGTCGCTTTTCTGTTGCTTTTATCATGAATGAATCATCTAGATATAAACCATGGTTTTCCACCTGCTCTGATGAGTTCACTTGAGTTAATGTATGATAAAAAAAATCAACAGACTGTTTCCAATATATCATCGGGTCCATGTTTGCTGAGTTTTAAATGGATTTGTCTCAAAATGTCCTCTTCTTGTAGATGGTATGCAGCCTATTAATTTATGATTTGTGTTTTTCCCAAACTGATTCTTTGTACTGACCCCACCTTTATTTGTGTGTGTATATACACACACACACACACACACACACACACACACACACACACACACACACACACACACACACACACACACACACACACGGAAAATTGTATACTTACCTATCGGTAATTTTCCTTTCCTGATGCCAATCCATGGCAGCACACAATGGGTATGGCTCCGCCGCCCCCAGCCCAATCACAGGACCAGTTATACTATACATTAAAGCCCGCCTCCCAAGGCCACCATTCTCATAACAAGTACTCAATGCGAAAGCCATGGGAGGGTTCTGTATGCTGCCATGGATTGGCATCAGGAAAGGAAAATTACCGATAGGTAAGTATACAATTTTCCGTTTTCCTGACACCAATCCATGGCAGCACACAATGGGATATAGCGATCACACATCCAGGGAGGGTAATTCTGAGATATTTATTTATTTGTATTATATATATATATATATATATATATATATTTATATATATAAGTGTGTGTGTGTGTGTGTGTTTAAATATAAACTGCAAGTTTTATTAATTAGTCCTATCATTGTTAATCATCTGTAGTCAATGGATCAATGTGAGGGAACAGAACACAATTGGGACAGTAATTATATAGACATGGTGAGTTAGTTGAACAGCCATGTTATTATCGTATAGAGGCAAATATCTTGTGTTGATTTGTTTGTTGCCAATTGATCAGCAATAAAGCATTCACATTAATTATGCCACTGATTTACCGAAATTAGAGGGCTATCAACCTAATCTTAATCTAGACCCCAAGTAGACCTAGCATCAGATATGTTCTTCCACATTAAAAGCATGTATGTTAAGTAATGTGTAACTCTAAGATAGGTATTTATTACTTCTTAAGTACTGAGAACCTGAGTGAAGTCAGCACAGCTTCACCTTATTCACTAAGCTAAACTTTGTAATGTGAACATGCTTTATTCTACCATAGAAAATCAACCCCCAGTGCATCGTAAGATTCCAGAGCAAATGGAGGCATAGAATGCCTATGTATGCAGTGTAAACAATGTGGGATTAATACATTTGCAAACAACTTGATGTGAATAATCTTATCAAAGTGTGCTAAAGTGTCAAAATCTTGTTTTTATCGTTTGTAAATATGTATGTACATGGAGGCAGGCATATAAACGTTCTTTACATATGTAAGCTATGTTTTGTGCTTTGCGGTGTTACACGATGGTTGTGTTTTACTGCTCCTTCTACAGTGTTCACAGTTAGTCATTGCGGTAGCTGCTTATAGTGGCTAATGTACAAATTTCTATATTCGAAGGAAAGCTGTGCCCAGAGAAATATGGAGCCCGAAACGCTAGTTTCAATAGTTTCCGAGTCACTGACTTAGAAGAAGCATGCAACCAGCAATGTCAGTATGATGCATGCTTCTTTTTGGCCAGTGTCTTAAAAAATACTGAAGACACTAGATCAGCATGTATTTTGTTTATCACTTTTGAGCTGTTGTCTCATTCTTTGCAGTGAGGCAAGGAAACCCACCCAATAGTATTTTAATGTGATTTTACTAAACACTAATGCTACACATACACAAATACAGCTGCAGGAAAACAATACAAAACATACAAAGTGCTAGAAGTATGCATACACACATGTATACAATCTATCTATCTATCTATCTATCTATCTATCTATCTATCTATCTATCTATCTATCTATCTATCTGTCTATCCTTTCATAGCAAATTAACATTGACAATAATCTTTATGCAAGGTGATATAATTAAGGCCACTTAGCTTACGTTATAGCAGGTCCATAGTTCCCCTATAAAACTAGACTTTGGACATTAGGCATTACATGTACTTGATCTTGGCAGTCTCTCTCATAGTGTAACTTTTGTTCCATGATAATGTCCACCTTAGCTAAAGCTGCAAGCTTTTTTATCTTGAAAAGTTTTGGAGACATTCCCAGATGGGCGCACCTCTTTCTACTTCCATGCTATATCAGTTTCTATGAGGAAAGTATTTCTGTCTGCAAACTCTACATGGCAGCACAATACCATGAGTGCTGCTGTGGTCAGCTATATCAAAAGGTCAAACTATTGTTGATTCTTAATGACATTACTACAATTAAACTTAGGTTCACCAGCCAAGAACTTCTTTAAACAGCAGGGACAGCTTAAAATGTGTACTTTCTCAGCAAATGGTTTACAGTACTGTACACACATACAGTATACCACAATACTATTCTATCTTATTTTCCCTTTGTTTTCAAGGACAGCTTAATTGGTCTTGTGAGAAGGGTAATGGCAGGCTAAATAATTCCTTAGTATTGATTACTGGTACTTTTAATATTATAACAGAAATGTGTAAAAGTAGGAAATGTGACTTCACAGCATAATCTAAACATTATGTTGAAGGTTGCTTATAGCAAAAAGGAGATCTTACTTTGTGCAATCCATTTGTAGGTATGGCAAACATATATTATGCAAGCATACATCAAAATTCTTTAGGATTTCTTCCCTAAAGGCATAATCTTCTTTATCAGTGTTGTCAAGTTCCGTCGGACTGGGGAAAGTGCCAGATCAGAAGAGGATAATATATCAGGCGAGCATGAGATACAGATTGGACCTGTCCACACAGATTTGGAAGCAGTGGAGCTGGAAGATGGAACAACGGTGCCAAAGGAGTTTGCAAACCCAACTGATGGTAAGATTTCTTAAACAGCAGATAGCAATACTATGAAGTTTATAGTCTTATAAGAAATGGTAAGTGCCGTATCAATTTTTGCACAATGACATTCAGTAGTTTTTACTTTCTGTTCTTCATATTGGAGATATTTTTTTCCATATTGTGGGGAAGTAATTTGTAACTTAGGGCCATGTCACATTGACGATTCTGCTGCTGGTGGCTGGATGACACCTTGCTAGTTTAGACAGGCAGAATGTGATGCTGTAGGAGAAGGTGAGTTGACTCTTAGTGGTTCTGTTGCTGCTGACTTATCAGTTATAGAGGCTGATTTTTAAATCTTCCTCCCAGTGTATAGCTGGAGCCGAGGAGCAAAGGAAGATTTATAAATCAGCCTTATAGTAGTAAGCTATTGATTATGATAGCTCTGTGAATTGGCCATTAAGGTAACCAATGGGAAAGCTATAGTATAACTATCATACGGAGATTGACTGTAGTGAGGGAGTATTTGAATTGAAAAAAACAGAAATTGGTATTGAGTTGCTGTGTCTGAATTAATTGCCTCTTGTTGTTTTCTTATAGATACCTTTATGGTGGAAGATGCTGTGGAAGCTATTGGCTTTGGGAAATTCCAATGGAAACTCTCAATCCTTACTGGTCTGGCCTGGGCAAGTAACAATAAGTAACATCCTAAAATGTTTATCTGTGCAATTTTCATGCTAAATTTAGTTTTATTTTTCAGTATTGTTAATATTAAGGTTTTTGTACTTTGTTTTGTGGACTTATTCAATAAGAGAATGCAAAGAGCAAAGATTATGTATGAAGTCCAGTAAGCTATAGCAACCAGTCACAGCTCGTCCCTTATCTGGAGTAAACTGAAATTTGACAGTCATAGGTAACTGCAGTGACAGAAAGTGGAAAACCTCTTCATATACTCTGACTCCCTTTCACTGTTTATTGCTGTTCTGAGCCCCTGAAAATCAGCTATTGTATTAACTGGCAACTCATTGGGGCTGTGGTACATCAAAGTCTAGCAAAACTACCTGAATGAATAAATAAACCCAGGCAGCGCCATTCTCAACATGTGGTCATGCTCTTTGAGTTTGAGAACAGACTTTTTTTTTGGTTCTTTTCTGAGTAAGACACCATTGTCATTCAGTAGTGAGGATGAGCGGAGGGGGGGACAAACTTAGAGTTGTTCCGCTGTCTGTTGATATGGGCAATTACAGATACTAGAAGATATACCTATTTATTGAATGGATGTGACAGGTTATTGCATTTTTGTAAGTTAATAACTGTCAGTCTGTGTAACAAGCAATGGTAAGGAAGGAAGAAATCTATTCTGTTTGAGTCTTTAGATGGATTCACACTGTTGTGGTACATTAATGACTTGATAATGTGCTTTGCATTAAGGCTGCCTATCCATTTTCAATGGGATACCAATGCACTGCAACATAGTTGATTCAATAAGAAATTGCAAAGAGCAAATATTATTATAGGAGCCTTGTGGTATGCTATGTAGGAGCCTTGTGGTATGCTATGTAGGAGCCTTGTGGCATGCTGTGTCAGAGCCGTGTGGCATGCTGTGTCAGAGCCTTGTGGCATGTTGGGTAGGAGCCCTGTGATGAACCTTTGCACAGACTATACACATGGAGGGCATTTATCAAAACTGGAGCAAACAAATCTAGAGCAGTTGTCCATGGCAGCCAATCAGCTTTTCACTTTCATTTTTAAAGCTGAACAAACTGAAGAGAGAAGCTAATCGGTTGCCACGGGCAACAGCTCTCGATTGTGTCTGCACTGGTTTTGATAAATTTTCCCCCCCATAGTATTTTTTTTATTCTTAAAAAAGCATTAAATGCAATTTAAAGCATATTCAAGGTTCACAACAGAGGCACTTAAACATACAGATCCATATCCTGTTATTTTCTATGGAAGCCTGTCAGCCTCTGATATAAACACACCGCAGGCGTTTGTAAGCTGTTAGAAACAGACTGAAACCTGACTTCAGCTTCTATGCTGTGATCTTTGAGGATAATTTACTTCACAGTACAAGCAGCTACAGAGATCAATGGGGGGCTGTTGTAAAACTCATTTGCTGCCTGTTAAGAATATGTAAAAACTTTCATGTCCATAATAGGGCCACATGTGCATTTTAAATCAGCAAAATACATTGCAGGTGCATTAGTTTTGTTTTCTTTAGAAATCAGCCACAGTAGAACAGTCTGAGTCAGATCTAGATCTCTGCAATCAGCAGGGAGTATGTGCTTTGGTGATTGCAGAGCTATAGGTCTGACTCAGCAAGAGGGGTTTTGGACCTCTGCAAAGAGACTACTGTTTCCATACAGAGACCAAGGGTCCCACTCTGCAGGCACAGGCTAAAGAAAATGATATCTATAACTTTACACTCCTTTTGATTTTATACATCAGGTATGTATTTGACAGATGTAAACTGAATTGGGCTTTAAAGAAAAGGTTGCAACTTTTTTCCTCCTAGCTTTATCATCATTATTTTTGGATGATGAGCTATATGCTTCTACATGTGTCCTTTTTTCCCGCCTGCATTTATTGTCATGCTGCTTTCTATCTAGTTCCCACACTGACTTTCTCTTTTATGCTTTGCTTTGGTGCATGTGCAGATGGCAGATGCCATGGAAATGATGATCCTTAGCATTCTGGCTCCACAGCTCCACTGTGAATGGAGATTACCCAGCTGGCAGGTGGCTTTGCTCACATCGGTAAGCAAATGCGCTGACTAAGCCTTGATCGTATTCCAGGTGTTAAACTGACGTCATAGCTGCCCAAGGACTCACATTTATCTTTTGTAATTACAAAGCTTTGCTGCCACAGTCATGCCTGACTATTGAAATGTTAGCTGAAACAGCATTGGTTTAACTCACGCCACAATGTCCTTGGTAACTGAATGGCTTTGCATTCCATTGTAACGTTACCTTTTGAAAATTTTCATCAGAGCAAATACCTTAAGAACAACTAAAGGCTCCTGTATGACAATCTAAACAAGTACCAATACTATGTCATGCACAAGCCTTAAAATAATAAAACATTAAATTTTACTGGCTGAGCCAAATCGTCCTTCATTTGTGTCCCGCATGCTCCCCCTCCCAGACACTGCAGCTCACAGTGGGAGGGTTTCAGCAACAATCTCAGTGCTGTCAATCCTTAAAGCAGTTGGCAGGATTAGGTGTGACTAGGAGTCAAGCTACAGGCATGTGAGACAGCAGTGAAAATACTGATGGCCAACCTCTGCAACACTTTCTCACCTCACTGTAGTGCAAGCAGACACAGCCTACATGAGAGTGACAACTCTTCCCTGAATTCAGGATCAGTGCAGCATTGTTGCCCCGCAACAACAGGAAGCTGCATTAGGTGGACACACATAAGAAACACAGGGGGAAATTCTATTTTTTTCTCTTGCATTTATATTGATGTTTGTAAATACAGTTTTATATCGGTTTTCAGTAAATAACCCTTATAGTATATTGGGTCCCCATGTGTAGTTTTATTCCGACACATTTTCAAATACTGAACCAGCATGCGTTCACTTCCGCTTTTCAGCATATAAGAGCTGAGTAAATCATCTCTGAATTGGTGCTTGCTTAACTATTACCAAAAATGTACCTTATTTGTGTATCACTCAGCTGTAGACCCTCAAATCATCTCTGAATTGGTGCTGACACTGCCCTTCCTTCTGGAGGGGGGCTACTTTGTTCCCCATGGTCCCTGTGTGTGTTGTAAAGTAGCCACCGCTCCAATCTCACTCCTGTGATGGACTACAATCTCAATACAAATTTCAACACAATCTCAACACAATAAACATGAGATTATAGTTCATCACGGGAGTGAGCTTGGATTCGTGGTTACTTTACAACACAGACAGGGACCATGGAGAACAAAAGTAGCCACCCTCCAGGAGGAAGGACAGTGTCAGCGCCAATTCAGAGATGATTTGAGGATCTACAGCTGAGTGATACACAAATAAGATACATTTTTGTTATTAGTTCAGTTACTTGAATGTATTTTTTACCTCTTGAGTTTAGTGTCAGTTTAAAGGAGAACTATGGGGTTAAGTCTTTTCCCCATAGTTCTCCTTAGGGTAACGGGAGGACACAAACTAGCGTCCTCCCGTCACCCTAGGCTCAGTATACTGCGAGCTGTAGCTCGCGGTATACTGAGACGCCGCAGTATACCGCGAGCAGCTGCTCGCGGTATACTGAGATGCCGCAGCTGAAGTGAATCCCGAAGCTGCGTGACTGACAGCTGGCTCTGCCTATCTAAAGGCAGAGCCAGCTGTACTCGCCCCATCCGTTCCACCAGTCAGCGCTGGCAGATCGGAGCGGGGAGAGGGGAATCCAGCCCCTCCCCTGTCACGGCAGAGAACCGTGACAGGATCGAGAGGTGAGCGAACTCCGGTATGTGTTCGCTCCCCTCCCGATCTACTGAGCCGACCTGTGACAGTCTCATTGTCACAGGTCGGCTAGAACTATAAGGTGAGTGAAAAGCACTCACCTCATAGTTCTCCTTAAAGTGGGCAAGACAGACGGACTGGTAACCAACATAACATCTGTAAGGGGGTCAGGTCCTAAATGACACTTTAACAAGGAAATTAGGTCAGCTGTAGTGATTTTATATTTTTGTATTCAATTACAATATATTAACAGTCTGCATTTAATTTAACTAGAATTTTCTTTATTTTAAGGTAAGAAAAACCAGAAACGTATTTTACTGCAGGAGCCTTTACCCCTGATTCTGCAGCCTATCTGCACAAACTTGTTGGTCCTGTAGATCAATTTTTGGCATGTCTTTTGTGCCTTACAATCTCATTTCCATACACTGAAGGACACTGCAGCGCCAAGACTGCTTATGTTGTTGTTTTTTTTCTGTCTTATTTACAGGTTGTCTTCATAGGAATGATGTCTAGCTCTTCCCTCTGGGGAAATGTCTCTGACCAGTATGGCAGAAAGACAGTAAGTTTTGGTGACAGGATGATTTAATAATTACATAAGCTTACTGAATATATAAATATTATGGTGTCCTGATTGACATTTCTAGGCATTTGACTCTGCATTGTGTTTAATTATGTTCTATATTTGCATTTTCTCTCTTGTATAGGGTCTAAAGATTAGTGTTTTCTGGACTTTGTATTACGGGATCCTCAGTGCATTTGCACCAGTCTATAGTTGGATTCTGGTGCTTAGAGGATTGGTTGGTTTTGGGATTGGAGGAGTCCCTCAATCGTAAGTTTCTATAAAATTTATATTTGCAATGTGTGTGATGCCATTTCATTTAAATGTTACCAATGTATTATGATTGACAACACATATACAATAAAGTCCATAATAGAAGTCACCAGCACTCGATGATATGTGCAAGAAGGAAATCACTTTTTATTCAATTGTCACATGTGTCAAACAGCCAACGTTTCGAGGCCACGCAGGGTCCCTTCTTCTGGGCGACATAGTGACACTGCGTGGCCCCGAAGAAGGGACCCTGCGTGGCCCCGAAACGTTGGTTGTTTGACGCATGTGACGATTGAATAAAAATTGCTTTACTTCTTGCACATATCATCGAGTGCTGGTGACTTCTATTATGGACTGTATCGGACACGGCCCCATCCGTGTTGTCACTTCAAGCACCAACCTCTTACTCAAGGTCTGTAAGCTGCATGGAGTGCAGGTGATTTCGTATCATCGATTACATATACAATAAACACACACACAAATATATACAAAAAAACAGCATAGCAGTGGATGTAGCTGTAAAGATCTTGCTCAAAGGCTAAGATTTACTCCCATATTTAGGGTTTAGCATTTTTCCCACTTCCCTCCCTTCACTTACCTGATTCACAGGATACTTCTCCCCACAGGCTGATGTGGATTCATCTTTGAATTCAGTGCAGCTGTGTGTGGCTCCGCCCACATATCCATATCACCCATGTATTTGGTATCCATCCATTTGACAGGATCTGTGAATGGAGAAACTACAAGTCCCATCAGCCACCAGGGCAGAAGGACTTGTAGCTCTCAATAGACTAGGAATGCAGTGACATCACCGCACTTCATTCTTCCTCTCATTTTACTGAATGTCTGTACTGAGGTATGGACATGGACAGGAGGAAGAGTCTGCTGGAGGCAGAACATTGCACCCTTGATCCTCTGATTGCGGTTGCAATGCTTTACTGGCTCCAATACGAAAAAATAATACATGCACATTTTTTTAAGGGGAAATTTCAATTTAAGGGACATCAACAGTATGTTACTGGCTACCTTCAAAGGAGGCAGCAAATGAAGGTGAACAATATACAGTGTGAGTGCCACATATCCACCTGTAATCCATGGTTACTTAGAGTGTTACACACATAGTCCAATACTCTCAGCTCACACCATGGAAGGGTGAGGAACTCTGCACGCTGCTTTCTGAACAAAAGAGCATACAGAGAGGTAGGGGATTGTTGGAGGCAGTTTGTATAACCCCGACTTGTGCAGTGATTTCTTTTTGCCTTCTATCATGACAGAGTAACACTTTATGCAGAGTTCCTTCCAATGAAAGCTCGAGCAAAGTGTATCCTTTTAATAGAGGTGAGCCAAATCTAGTGTTCTCATTTTTGGGGGAATATGCACTATTTGTAAGGAATGTTTTAGATATACGTGAAAAGAGAAGAGCTTCTACTTCCTTCTTTGCAGTACTACACTGATCCTTCTCACAATGCACGTCTATGAGTGAGCTAATTTATTGATAGCAATGAACTTTCTGGGTGACAGATATCACAACAGTTGTTAAGCGGAGAGGTAGAGTGATTATATATTGAGGGAGTTATTCACAAAGCTGCCGTAGGCAGCCGTGTGAATAACCGACCCGAAGTGAAGTGAGCCGAACGCTGTTTCGGCTATTCACATCAGGCTTGTACGGTTGATCTCAGCTGTACAACGGCTGAAATTAGCCGTACATTGGCTGGCTTCGGGTCGGCCGAACATGCTCGGCATGTTCGGCCGACCCGAAGTGCAGAAGGAGTTTGACTGAGCCGATCCAACATCTGGTTCGGCTGAGCTGAAACTCCGGCAGCCTACTCCCTGCTGTTCGGCCTATTATGATCATCTCAAACTATGGGCAAAAGATATGTTTATCAATTTGTATTTTCCTTGCCCGCAATGATTATGTTTACCAATTTAGGTCTTTAGAAGTATGAGAGTGTCTTAACATCCCCACATGTTTGATTATGTACTTTGGTGGTAGCAGTTATTGCTTTTAAATGTCAATCAGCTAAAACGAGGCTTCTAAACAGTGACAAAGCTCTGATGTTTAGCTTAACAGTGAAGGGAATTTATCAATTTTGTAGAATCTGCGAGCTGCTGTCAATGACAACCAATCAGCTTCTAGCCTTTTTTTTTTCCAAAGCTTAACTGAACAAACTGAAAAAGAGAAGCTTATTTGGTTACTGTGGGCAACTGCTCCAGATTCTGTATGCTCCAGTTTTGAGACATTTCCCCCACTGAGATAACCAGATGTTAATAAATCTTTACCCACTATCGTTTTCAATCGTTTTCAATGTGCTTGCTTTTCAATGCTACTAAGACAAACTTGGATTCAGCTTGTTACCATTTTTATTGCAGATTTTCTGGGCTATTGGCACTGTGTTTGAGGTTCTACTAGCTATTTTTGTGATGCCCACACTGGGATGGCGCTGGCTTCTGATACTGTCTGCCCTTCCCCTCATGCTTTTTTCCGTCATGTGCTTTGTAAGTAATTATTATTTCAAATCAAATTTGTTTAAGCTTCAGGTTACTTTTATATGTGTGATACAGTTGCATGAGTCTTTAATATTTTTCTACAGGTGTTCCTAATACAGTGCATTTATAATTAGCTAGTTCCACAGTTGTCTTTTTAGGTGATAATGGTGGACAGGTTCCTCAATACACATACACACATATATGCCCTTGTTCTGCCCAAACTGAAACTGACTAGAGGAATTAACTGTTTATTAAAATTAAGTATTTTGAGGTCTTTACTTTTTAATACATGCAAACTTGAAGGAACATGTATTATAGATATATCCAAAACAAGTCATAGATAAGTTGTGAAATTTTTTTTTTCCATTGAACACAGTTGCATGAGAACTTTGACAATGATTTGACGTTATGTAGAATATATATCATTTACCTATGCAAGACAAACTGTTGAGTATGAATCATTTGTTCCAGAACTGGGCAGGAGTCTATGTGCTTGAACTTACAATTGCAATAATAATTGATCTGTCTTAGACCACACATTGATATCCGGTCTATGTATTTATAACAGTGTGCCCCATTGTTTACAATAGTGTACAAATATAGCACTTTCTGCAAATAACGAAAAACAAGATATGGTTACAGATAAAAATGCAAAGCCCTGCAGTATATTTTAAGGGGTCTATTTATAAACAATTTGTAAATATCTGTGATTATTCGTTTTGGGTGAATAATGCCAAAAATGAATGTTGTTAATATATATTTTCCAAGTTCAAATGTAGTGTTGTATTAATACATTATGGCTGCTACATGGTCTTTTCCAGTTTGAATGTAGTTTGTTGTAATAATAAATGATGGCCCCTAGATGGAGCTGAGGAACATAGAAAAGAAGTACTTCCTATGCTCCTCAGCTTTATCTAGTGCCTATAATGTATTATTACAATAATAACAATAACCTATATTCAAACTGAGTACTTCCTATGCTCCTCAGCTCCATCTAGTGCCCATAATGTATTATTACAATAATAACAATAACCTATATTCAAACTGAGTACTTCCTATGCTCCTCAGCTCCATCTAGTGCCCATAATGTATTATTACAATAATAACAATAACCTATATTCAAACTGAGTACTTCCTATGCTCCTCAGCTCCATCTAGTGCCCATAATGTATTATTACAATAATAACAATAACCTATATTCAAACTGAGTACTTCCTATGCTCCTCAGCTCCATCTAGTGCCCATAATGTATTATTACAATAATAACAATAACCTATATTCAAACTGAGTACTTCCTATGCTCCTCAGCTCCATCTAGTGCCCATAATGTATTATTACAATAATAACAATAACCTATATTCAAACTGAGTACTTCCTATGCTCCTCAGCTCCATCTAGTGCCCATAATGTATTATTACAATAATAACAATAACCTATATTCAAACTGAGTACTTCCTATGCTCCTCAGCTCCATCTAGTGCCCATAATGTATTATTACAATAATAACAATAACCTATATTCAAACTGAGTACTTCCTATGCTCCTCAGCTCCATCTAGTGCCCATAATGTATTATTACAACAATAACAACCTACATTCAAACTGAGTATTTCCTATGCTCCTCAGCTCCATCTAGTAGGGATGTACCGATACCACTTTTTCAAGACCAAGTACAAGTACTTTCCCTCAGGTACTTGCCGATACCAATTACCGATACTTTTTCTTAAAGGGACATGTGTAATTTTTTCTAAAACAATGCTGACTAATGATTTTAGGGCAGTTTCTTTATAAATATGAAGAACTGTAACTCAATCTATGATTATACAGCGATGGAGAATAGCAACAAGCAATAGAGGACTACAGATCCCGTCACTCCATGATTATACAGCAATTATATATGGCTGTGTGTCGTCTCACCTGGGATGCATTTGGGTCTCACCTGGGCTGCACACTAGGGTCCTGCGATCTAGGAGCTCGTTGGGGGCTGAGGAAGAGCAGCCACGGGGTGCCAATGTAGTTTACAGGGTTACTCTAGAGATTAGGGCTAGCTACCTACCTATATGCGTTATAATTCTTCATATAAATATATGTTTTGCATTCTGAATTCAATAGAACCAAAGTATATGGGCTTTAGTGCACCACAATGCACACATGTGAATGGCCTGTGCTTTGGTGTGTGCTGTGTTGCAGGTATGTTTTTAGTGTGTTCGGAGCTCATTTGATCTGACTGGGCTGCATTAAAGCAACGCTCCTCAATGCATAAAATGGTGTACATTGCCACACGCAAAGATGTGAAGGAGCCCTAAAGGTCAACTACCAGTCATTTCTATCTCTGATCACACATGAATGCATTTCCTTGTGGTTGTTCTTATCTCCACCACCTCTCACAAGACCATCATGAATGAGTCACCATCTTGTGGCTGGACTATCCTGTCATTTATTCTATTTTATGGGGGATACATTGGGAGAGACATTCTTTAACTGCCAGAGTTAACAAGAGATGGAAGTGGAAAAGTCAGCAGAAGATTGAGCTCAGTTGGAGCTCCCCTTCAAAATAGCAAACCTATTGAAAAGCATTGAGCACTAGGGATGAGGACAGAGCTGGAACTTCTTGGAAGGCACAGGAAGTAATTTGGGCATTGAGTGCTCTACTGTACATCAGCACTGAACTGCTGAAACCTATAACCATCCCAGTTCCACTTTGCAAACAACATGCCTTTTGTTTGGGTAACATTTTATATCACCCATATGTACCTGTAGCTGGCGGAGGGGATCCGGAGGAGCGGCTGTCAGTAGAGCGGCTCGGGGAGCAGGCTCCATCAGCGGCAGCTGGAGACTCAGCCAGGGAATCCAGGGACAGATATGCAGGACGAGAGCGGGAGTCCGAGGCAGTCATGTGGTCCGACAGCTGTAATAATCAATCATTCCTACACCAACAATAAAAATAGCACACTATAAATATATAATTTGTATCCACGTATATCTTTACATGATGTAGAAATCTAAGCAACTCATGCTTAATTCATATCCCCATATGAGTATGTCCCAATTAATTTGATTGCCATTGTATGTGCAAAGAGCAAGCATAAAGTGCTGTAATAAGCCAGCTGGCCAATGAGATCAACTTTATCCAACAAAATGCTTCAAATAAGATATAAGATATAATGGCCATTCCATGGGGATCTTACACATCCATCAGCAAACCTCTGTGCGTCCTGAGGCGCCATCACCGCAAACGCCCATGTTACACTGAGAATGCATGTATCATATTGGCAGTGTGTGCACACCAGGTAGGTCTCACCCAGCTCAGTTGATATCTTTTCAGTGCTGAATCTTTCACCGATTGTGCTTGCAAGCTCGTTCAGCAACAAATTTGTGGGATATCTCCATCTCATATGAATCCCAGCCTGGTCAGGTCCATATAGCAGACTGGACGCCTCAAGAGAGCGCAACACGTTTCATCCAATAGAGACTTTTTCACAGCATGTGCGGCATCTGTATTATTAGTACTACCCTGTTTCCCCGAAAATAAGACCTACCCCGAAAATAAGACCTAGTACTATTTTTGGGAATTGCTAAAATATAAGACCTACCCTGAAAATAAGACCCAGTTGTGACCATTCCCAGGGACGGTGGTGGCATAAGGGGGAACTTGAAGAGCCGCGGGAGAGAGCAGGAGAGAATCAGCGGTGCCAACGAAGCCAGTGCTAGAGGAAGCGAGGCGGCACCGGAGGGAGCAGAGCCGCATAAGCCGACTCCTCTCACAGGCGGCGTGATACCAAATGCACTCCGCCTGTGAGGAATCAATAGTGAAAGAGCACTTTGCTCATTCTGGCCAGCGATTGGTTAGCAAATTGCTCTTGGAAAGGTACGGCACCCGATTGCCCTGATCACCATATTTTTGTAAATGAATACATGTAGACTTTTCTACACGATTAAGTGTGGATTGTTGTACATTAAAAAAAAAAAAGAAATAAGACCTACCTCGAAAATAAGACCCAGTGTGTTTTTTGGAGCCCAAAAAAAATATAAGACAGTGTCTTATTTTCGGGGAAACACGGTACCACAAACTACTGTACATTTAAACTGGGAAACTCCATCTAGTGGCCATAATGTATTATTACAACACTACATTCAAACTAGGAAAAATATATTAGCAAAATGAGTTTATGGCATTATTCACCCAAAACGGACTTGCAGGACGAGAGCGGGAGTCCGAGGCAGTCATGTGGTCCGACAGCTGTAATAATCAATCATTCCTACACCAACAATAAAAATAGCACACTATAAATATATAATTTGTATCCACGTATATCTTTACATGATGTAGAAATCTAAGCAACTCATGCTTAATTCATATCCCCATATGAGTATGTCCCAATTAATTTGATTGCCATTGTATGTGCAAAGAGCAAGCATAAAGTGCTGTAATAAGCCAGCTGGCCAATGAGATCAACTTTATCCAACAAAATGCTTCAAATAAGATATAAGATATAATGGCCATTCCATGGGGATCTTACACATCCATCAGCAAACCTCTGTGCGTCCTGAGGCGCCATCACCGCAAACGCCCATGTTACACTGAGAATGCATGTATCATATTGGCAGTGTGTGCACACCAGGTAGGTCTCACCCAGCTCAGTTGATATCTTTTCAGTGCTGAATCTTTCACCGATTGTGCTTGCAAGCTCGTTCAGCAACAAATTTGTGGGATATCTCCATCTCATATGAATCCCAGCCTGGTCAGGTCCATATAGCAGACTGGACGCCTCAAGAGAGCGCAACACGTTTCATCCAATAGAGACTTTTTCACAGCATGTGCGGCATCTGTATTATTAGTACTACCCTGTTTCCCCGAAAATAAGACCTACCCCGAAAATAAGACCTAGTACTATTTTTGGGAATTGCTAAAATATAAGACCTACCCTGAAAATAAGACCCAGTTGTGACCATTCCCAGGGACGGTGGTGGCATAAGGGGGAACTTGAAGAGCCGCGGGAGAGAGCAGGAGAGAATCAGCGGTGCCAACGAAGCCAGTGCTAGAGGAAGCGAGGCGGCACCGGAGGGAGCAGAGCCGCATAAGCCGACTCCTCTCACAGGCGGCGTGATACCAAATGCACTCCGCCTGTGAGGAATCAATAGTGAAAGAGCACTTTGCTCATTCTGGCCAGCGATTGGTTAGCAAATTGCTCTTGGAAAGGTACGGCACCCGATTGCCCTGATCACCATATTTTTGTAAATGAATACATGTAGACTTTTCTACACGATTAAGTGTGGATTGTTGTACATTAAAAAAAAAAAAGAAATAAGACCTACCTCGAAAATAAGACCCAGTGTGTTTTTTGGAGCCCAAAAAAAATATAAGACAGTGTCTTATTTTCGGGGAAACACGGTACCACAAACTACTGTACATTTAAACTGGGAAACTCCATCTAGTGGCCATAATGTATTATTACAACACTACATTCAAACTAGGAAAAATATATTAGCAAAATGAGTTTATGGCATTATTCACCCAAAACGGACAGTCACAGACAATCGCAGGGCTTGGCCCCTGCAAATTGCTTATCACACTCTAACGTGTCTTTAAATTGTTCTGTGTGGAAAATAAAATGTTTTTGATAACTTACCTATTGCTTGTTTTGAATAAATCTGTTATACATATTGTTTAAAAATGGAGACTTCATAATACAATGTTATTATAATAATTGCAGCATATATCCTAACATGAGGAATACATTTACTTAGATATACAGTATGTACTATATTACTTTAAAAACCAGCAGTGGTCTCCTGCGTGGTTTATATTTAGGAATAAAAATCCTGCAGCAGTCATTTTAAACCTGCTGGCACCAGCTTATATAGTCACTCCACCCAAAAGAGATATGTAAGCTATAGTTGGATCCTTGGGGGTTGTGTCAGAACTTGGACTCTTATACACTGATCAGCCATAACATTATGACCACCCTCCTAATTTTGAGTAGGTCCCCATGTTGCCACCAACACATCCCTTACCTGTCGAGGCATGGACTCCACTAGGCTTCTGAAGATATGCTCTGGTATCTGGTATCAAACCATATGAGCTACAATAGCTCTTCCATAGGATCAGACTACACGGGCCAGCCTTCGCTCCCCATGTGCATCAATAGGCCTTAGTCGACCATGACCCTGTTGTCAGTTCACTAGTTTTCCTTCCTTGGACCACTTTTGGTAGGTCCTGACTACTGCAGACCGGGAACTGCCGTTTTGGAGTTGCTTTGACCCAGTCATCTAGCCATCACAATTTGGCCTTTGTTAAAGTCGCTCAAATCCTTACACTTGCCCATTTTTTCTGCTTCCAACACATCAACTTTAAAAACAAAATGTCCACTTGCTGCCTAATATATGCCACCCACTTCCAGGTGCCATTGAAACGAGAAAATCAATGTTAATCAATCACCTGTCAGTGGTCATAATGTTATGGCTGATCGGTGTATAACTGGTATACCCTGGCAGCAAGTTTTAACTGCTACTATTCTGAAATTTCTGCTCACCTGGAAAGTGTGAGTGTTCTTGTACCTCTTGTTGCATTCTCCATAACTTTAATAATGAAACATTCATTCAACACTCCGTCACACAGATCTGTCAGCAAGCCGTTGCACCTCAGAAAATTCACCTTCTAGTGTAAGCTTCACTAGAGTTGTTCTGGGTTGACAGGTTTTGGTTGACTGAGACTTTCTGGTCAGAAAATATATAATGTTTTAAGTAATTTTCAGGCCTAAAATGTGGAATATAACATGGGTACAAAAAATGAAAAAAAGGCCTCAGTCATGAAGGGGTTAAAGCAGAACTTGTGTAAACACTTCTATTGTCTGCTGTTTTCTAGTGGTTGCCAGAGAGTGCAAGGTATGATGTTCTGTCTGGAAATCAAGAGAAAGCACTTGCTACTTTGAAGCGTATTGCAACTGAGAATGGTGCTCCAATGCCTCTGGGGAAACTAATCTTATCAAGACAGGTAGGTATCTGTTGTATTTATGGTTGAGAGCTAGTGACAGATGATTGGTGAATGGGTTCGCAAACAATTGATCATATGGTCTACAGAAGAGGGGTTCTCTTAGCATGCTTGTAAAGACCATTCTTTTCTATTCATTCATTTCGTTTATGAGAAGAGAATGACCCTTTAAAGAAGTTGTAAAGTCCCGGCATATCCTATCCTGTTATAACATCAGCATTGTAATAAGAATACATACTAGAGTTGTTTTTCATAATGCAATCAAAGCTTACGTGAAAAAATCCCTTTTATATAGTAAGTGCTTTGGAAGGTCTACCCATCACTTTCAGCAACTTCCTAGATTCCCAGTGTGCTTTGCATCTCTTTCACTGCTGCTTGATGTGATGCGATCTCAATTCCTCAAGACTACATAGCCCGTTATGCATTGCTTCCAGCAAGCACTGATGATGATACATTGTTCAGACGTTGGGTTGTAGTTCAGAAGGCAGGCTCTGTGAGTGCATATTCCCAAGGCTGAGTGAAAATGTAATTGCATTGAGGAAGTACATCCTATGGGCATCTTCAATAAGTAAGTTTACAAACCTCTTAGATTGATATGGTTATTAGGAGTGGGCTAGAGCCTATTAAAATTCATTATAGAAGCACATATTTATTTTTAGTTTCTGACCATAGATACCCATTAACTTACTGGGAAATGTCAAACCAAATGTTAGTAGTTATTTTTGTAGTGCAGTACTTGGTGAGTAGTGGAGGGGCAGGTCTTCTTGTAGGTAGGTGCAGTACGGCTAATGGCCACTAGATGCCCCCATGGGGCCCTGGAGATAGATGCAGCTCTGTACTGGGGAGACTCTGTGTCCCAGGAGAGTTGATTTATAGGGGGCGCCCGAGAGGGGAGAACAGTTCAGTTTGGGAGCGGAGTACAGGAGAGTAGAAGTCAAAGACTGTATGCAGAGTCTCCGGAGGGAGACTGATTCTAGAACATAGGCTGGTCCATGGGAAAGACAGGACCAGGCCTAGGACTATGTAGAGCTATTCACAGATTCCCTAGTTTCCCCTGGAGGGGGAAACCACCGAACTAGGACTGCCAGTGGGCCTACGGCCGAAGTAAGACGTGGACTCTAGGCTGCACCTGGGCTGTTCTTCTCTCTCTCTAATCTGTATCACTATGCAACTATCAAGAAATGTGCCGTCACCCCACTCGGGGGTGGCTGGAATGTATGCTTCAAATCATGTTCATTCTTTCAAGTAAAATCAAGAAAAGACTATCTGTGTGGACTGGTTCTTCTCCCTCCAACCTCTGAGAAGGTTGGGTTCTACAGGAGTGTGATGTTGGACTGTATCGTGGCTGTAACCATCCTGAGGAGAGTAGGTGTGCAAAGGGGCTATGCCCGACATAGGTTGCCTTTTATGGTGGCCTTTCTCCCTAAGGAGGAGGAAGCACCGAATACCGCAGAGGCGTGGGAAGTCATGAGGCCCTGTGTGCGCAGTACTACACGTGTGCGAGTGTTTGCACGAGGCCAGAGCCGTGTCCCCTGACCTTGGGGTGCCTGGTGTCGTGTTGCATACACGGGGTCACACAGAGCCAACCCAAAGGGAACACACACGCAACACCCCGAGAGTGAACCCTGCCTACATTTTAGTCGCCTAAAGCTGGCCATACATGGATTGATTTTCTGCTATTTCCTGCCTAATTGGATGGAATTTAATCTGTGGGTGGCCCTGCCAGACACACTAAAGGTGCCCATACACCTTACAATTATCTGCAGATTTTCTGTGGTCAGATGGAAAAAGTACAACAGATTGGCCCAGGTGGAGATTACTCCATCCACACAGTTAAGTGTAGATGGAGGAATCTGTTGCACCTTTTCCATCTGACCACAGATTTCTTCTCTCTCTCTAATCTGTATCACTATGCAACTATCAAGAAATGTGCCGTCACCCCACTCGGGGGTGGCTGGAATGTATGCTTCAAATCATGTTCATTCTTTCAAGTAAAATCAAGAAAAGACTATCTGTGTGGACTGGTTCTTCTCCCTCCAACCTCTGAGAAGGTTGGGTTCTACAGGAGTGTGATGTTGGACTGTATCGTGGCTGTAACCATCCTGAGGAGAGTAGGTGTGCAAAGGGGCTATGCCCGACATAGGTTGCCTTTTATGGTGGCCTTTCTCCCTAAGGAGGAGGAAGCACCGAATACCGCAGAGGCGTGGGAAGTCATGAGGCCCTGTGTGCGCAGTACTACACGTGTGCGAGTGTTTGCACGAGGCCAGAGCCGTGTCCCCTGACCTTGGGGTGCCTGGTGTCGTGTTGCATACACGGGGTCACACAGAGCCAACCCAAAGGGAACACACACGCAACACCCCGAGAGTGAACCCTGCCTACATTTTAGTCGCCTAAAGCTGGCCATACATGGATTGATTTTCTGCTATTTCCTGCCTAATTGGATGGAATTTAATCTGTGGGTGGCCCTGCCAGACACACTAAAGGTGCCCATACACCTTACAATTATCTGCAGATTTTCTGTGGTCAGATGGAAAAAGTACAACAGATTGGCCCAGGTGGAGATTACTCCATCCACACAGTTAAGTGTAGATGGAGGAATCTGTTGCACCTTTTCCATCTGACCACAGAAAATCTGCAGATAATTGTAAGGTGTATGGCCAGCTTAAGCTTGTCTAACTTCAATCTTAAAATGAAAGGAGCCAGGGGGAAAATTGTTGGCCAAACAGTAACTGCAACAAATCAGCTGCTGTCAGTGTTCGTATAGTTTGACAGCCAGGGTCAGGGGAGATACTTCCAATTAGACGGCTGACTTCAGGTATTAGATTGATAATGGCCAACATTAAAGACAGAAGTTGTTGGAACCAGTGGCGTAACAATCGTCATAGCGACCCAGGCGGCCGCTATGGGGCCCGGCCAGGGCATCCCTCTGATGCCGTGCGGGCCGCCTGGGTCGCTATGGCATATCAGGGTGCTGGCTGTCAAGAGGAACGCACCGCTGTTAGATCACTGACAACCTGTCAGTAATGTGTGCAGCAGCGCGTTCTTCCTCACATCCGCCACTGAGCTGTGTCAGTGATAGCCAGCAGCTTCTGAAGAAGAGACTGGACCGGGCGTTTGCAGTGAAGGAGGAGGCGGGGCCCGGCGACTCAGGCCCCGTTCACATGTAGCGAATTATCGCGCGATTTCCGCCGCGATATCGCGCATTTTAGCCGCGCGATATCGCGAGAAGTCGCCGGCCAATGCTATTCAATGGAGCTGTCTTAACTCCATGTCGCGCGTCACTCGTCGCGGTCGCAAGTCGCTTCTACCGGACAATTTTTTCAGCGGATTTTGCGCGATTTTGCCTTTTTTCTATGGAGCCCGACGGAGAAGGTCGCGCTACCGTCGCTGGATCGTCGCCCCGAAAGTCGCGCTATCCCGGCCGTGCGGATCCGCTGCAAAAGGTATGTCGCTACGTGTGAATGGGGTCTTAAGAGCAGGAGGGGCTAGTGATGTAAGAGGAGGCAGGGCCCATCGATAGAGGAGAAGACATGGCCCGGGGACGAAAGAGGAGGCGGGGCCCGGGGACGGAAGAGGATGCGGGGGACGGAAGAGGAGGCGGGGCCCGGCGACCACAGAGGCGGACTGCGCTGACAGGTAAGAGGTGTGCAGCCCACCTGAGACCCTGCAGAGCCAGCCATAGAGAGTCTATATCACATGGCCCCATACAGAATTTTGCTATGGGGCCCTGTGATTTCTAGTTACGCCCCTGGTTGGAGCGATGGTTCCTTTACATTGATATCAGCTGCAGGGTGTTGCTCTACCAGTATGGTGGCTGAGTTTGAGGCTGGAGGTGACTAAGGGACATTGGTACAGATTGGGTTGATTTTCATGCATATAAGTGTAAAATGCTGATTAATGGATTCTATAAAGGATTAGCGGTAAACCCCTGTATCCAAATATCTAATCAAAGGCTCCATACAATATACCTAATGGTCCCTAGGAGACATCTATGGCCAGGAACACATAGCTGCACATCCAAATGAATATATATTATTATATAGCACCTACAATGTAAATGAATATCCCCTTATGAAGAAGCAGGTCATCTTGTGAAATGGGTCTAGGAAATACAGAAGATATTTCTACACTTTCACTCCAAGGAGGCGTGGAAATGTCTGTATAAAACATGTGAACAAATGGGTTTGGGTTTGATGTAACAAATATGACACTGAATGTAAATGTGATGTAGGGTACCCTAAAAGACACCAAATAGAACAAAAGGGTTATTGAGGTTTCTTGTAGTGTACCAGTATGACTTGACACCTTTACAGCACATTACCTTTTTGTCAAATCTGTTCTTTTATTTTATTTACTGTTTAAGTTATAATAAATCCAAAACTGCCTTAATGGGAAGTTATATTGTGCTGACAAGTAACTGTAGTCTCTTCTGTTTTACAGGAAGATCGTGGTAGAATACGGGATCTTTTTACACCTCAGTTCCGATGTACAACATTGTTGCTTTGGTTTATATGGTAAGTGGTAAAGCTCTTATGTGTTAACAAATGTGAATATGTTAGAGGGCATTTGAGATAGAAATTTCCCTTATGGCTCCATGCTATTGGAAATTAATACTTGTGTCAAGGGGTTAATTTCAAAATGCACCTGAAAGTATGTAACATTACAACACAGAACAAAAGGTAAGGGACAATCTTCCAATGGGTACATCTGTTCGCAAGACAACTGTCTAAGAGGGAAATTCCCCTAAATTTAGGAGATTTCCTCTAACTTCCCTTTGTGTCTCTTAGACAGGAAGTGAAAGCGATTTAAACAGCTAAAATAAACTGGCAGGGTTTTAAAGGATAAGTTCACCTTTTGCAAAAATTTAAGAAATGCATAATTAATAATATATAAAAGAATATGCATTAAATCACCTCATACGGTATCCAGCCATCCTCGCGATGGGTAGATGTAGGAATGTATTCCTACATCTACCCAGCGCGAGGATGGCTGGATGCCGTATGAGGTGATTTAATGCAGTTTGAAGTCCAGCTGTCCTTCCCCCATCTCTCCTAACTGTAAGTCAAACAGGAACTTATTTTACAAAAAAAATTACATCGCACTGACACTGGAGCGGGACAGCCACCAGCAATATTCTGACTCCTTGGGCTGCAGGTCTTCTAAAGGAGCCAAATTATCTTCTAAAAGCTACCATAAGGATCTCTCTTAACACATAAGTCAGGAGCTCTATAGGAGCAATGCCATTTGGTAAATTAGTCAGAAAATAGGCTGACATTGGCATCCTGCAGTTAAAAATGAACTTATTTAAATCATTCAATTATGCCAAATAAATCTGTGATACAATGAAGATTAAAAAAAGCAAGCAGGTGCATAGCAGTTTGTTTGTATGCAGTAGCAGAGGTTTTGGACCATAACGTATATTTGTTTATTGTGCATTACATACTGTGAAGCTCATCTGTAAAAGAGACTCAATATTACTGTACTGCTAAGACAAATAACAGTATTTATACTCCAGGTTTTCCAATGCCTTTTCATACTACGGACTGGTTCTCTTAACCACAGAACTATTTCAAGCTGGAGACGTATGTAGTAGTAAGTAACAGTCATTTTCATTTTGGATCAATGACTAATATTTTATGACTGTTTTATAGGTCCATTTATAGTCTTATAGTCTATACTTGTCTATAGTATGGGATTTTCAAGAGTTTAAAAAGGCTATTAAGTTCCCAGCTACAATGCAACTCCTCAGCATCTTTCATATCTACATTTCATTCTTTACCACTTTATGAAATATTCTGAATGAGTTATCACTCATAAAGTTTTCCTATTAATAAATATTAAGTGGATTATTCACAAAGCCGCTGAAGGCATTTTCCCACCGGCTGCTGTCAGCATTCCCGAACAGAGCTGGCAGCTCATTGGCTGCCGGGAAAATATTGGTTTATACCCAGGAGTCCAAATTAAATAAGAGTTTGATCAGTGACCTATAAATGCTCAACAAAAAATACTATGGTCTTGTAAGAATCCATGACCAAAACAGAAGTCACTTGAAAGACCTAAACTCTCATGGTCCGATAACCCTGTTCTCTGTGTACCTGGAGTGTATTCTGATTTAACTAAATGGTCTTTGAGGTTTCGAGCCCTACATGTCACCATTTGAGGGTGTGGTCCTACTATATCTGCCAGCGAGGGACAGAGTCGTAACACAGGCATGTAACACAGAGACCATGGTTATCTGGACCATGAGAAACAACTGGCGTGTTCGCTTGTGGGAGGTGCCCGGTGTGCTCCTCCTATGTGGATAAAAACCTTTCAGAGTACAGATGGTCAGCAAATATTTAAAATGAATCAATGTATTCATTGTTCCACTGAAAAAGTGATTTATCAACTAACGTGTCCCTGTAGGAAAATGTATATAGGTAAAACTAAAAGACAACTGCGAGTACAGATAGGGGAACATTTGAGAGATATTAAGAAAATAAGGAAAAAGATATCCCCATAGCTCAACATTTCAAAGAACATCACAATAGTGAATTGAAAGGTATACAAGTAAAAGGTATACAGTATATGTATTGAAGATATCAGCAAGGAGGGGTGACTTTGATAAGATCCTACTCCAGAAGGAAAAATAGGTGGATTTATAAATGAAATACTCTCTCTCTCCAAGGACTGAACATAGAGTTTAACCTGCAGGCGTTCCTGTAATATAGCCTTGAAATAGAAATGCTCAGCATAAATGAACAGATGCCCTGGCAACATCGAATATAGACTACAAGTGAAAACTTCCCTGTGTTTTGCTGCTATGACTTATATAGTCATTTCTCATAATGAACATCTTTTAAAAATGGTTAATTACCAGAAGGATGAGTAAAAGACCCTTTAAGGAGGCTAATGACGCTCACATCTCACGTTCTGACGAAGCCCCGCTGTGGGAGGGGTGAAACGCGTCAACGGAAGAGCACCACTCGCCACCCTGTGGTTCACCCACTACAAGCTATGATCGTTTGATCGGTTCCCTGGTGGTATCTACACATATCTGTAACCCAATTTGTAGGCTGGACCAAGGCGGCAATGTGAAATCGGCCCTGCTACAATAGGAGTCAAACAAATGATTGCAATCAACTAGTACTGTGAGTAAAACTCAGCTCTGTCGGCCGACGGGTAAGAGCTTCTTTTAACAACTTTTCTGCTATCTGGAAATACTGTGAACCTGCTGGGTTCAATTCAATTCAGGACTTTGTCGGCAAACATGGATTAATTTGTATATATTTACAGCCAGGAAATCTGCATTTTCTAACACCTCTGGTGAGGACACAGAAGGGTTAAGCCAGGGGCTTAACGACAGATCACGGGGCCCCATAGCAAAATTTTGATTGAGTCCCCCAGCAACCTCCCTACTGTCAATGATATTAAAGTCAGGTACCAGGAGAACTGCCTGCATAGTCCCCCCCCCCGCCCCTTACATCTGATGCCAGCTCTTCTTGATGAATAATGTCAGTGTCAGCAGCAACTTCTGCAATTCTTATTGGGGCCCCTTCCACCCCCAGGCCCCATAGCAGCCACAAGGGCTGCTATGGCTATTGTTACGCCACTGGCTTAAGAAACCTACGATGTATTAAACAAGCTGTTATATATAAACTAGCGAAGCGGGACAGGGATGTGAACCAGCCGGACCAGCTCTTGTATCGTTCTGTGATTAAAGCTACAAAAGTGTGACGCGCTGATTACATTGCTTGAACTTTCGATACATCAACAACAGTATAGTAGTTGCAACTATCCATGACATATTTTTTCAGCAACATCCACACTGCTACTAATAGGCTTCTTACAGGAACGCCTGCCTATTAGGACGTTTCATTTATTGATTCATTTTGGATCTGCACAGTAAGAATTAATCATTTGTATCCCGTGCATATAAGCAATTTATTCATAGAACCGCTGAGGGTTGGTCTGTAAGTGCTGTACGATGTGTGCCAGTGTGGAGACAACGTTGTCTTCAGGGGTGTCCCAAGGCCGGGTGACACCCCGCCGTGACGTTATCGCACATGCGCGTAATGATGTCATCACGCGTACGCGGCCATCTAATTGACGCTTGCCGGCGGCCATCTTGGTGATGGACGTCGGCAGAGAGAGGAGGGGATGTTCACCTGGCGGGGTGAGGTATGCCGCCGGGTCCCCTCCTCTCTCCTGATACTGTCAGGCTCTCTGTCCATGACCGAGTGCCCAACTTTTTTAGAGGGGGTGACACCAAAATCACTGTGAGTCATTTTGGTGTCACCCCTCCAATGGTGTCACCCGGGTGCGGGCCACTGTGACGCCACTGGTTGTCTTGCGTTTAAATGAGATTTTCATGATGCGGTGAAGGTTAAAGGGGTTCTAAACCCTCTGTTTTTTTTGCCTATATCTACTGCTAGCAAGCAGTAGAAATAGGCAAAAAGTTTAAAAAAATTAAACTTACCTCCTCATCGCTGCGCGCTCCCACGCCGAGAATCAGGAACTGCTCGTGCGGCCGCAAAGGATCTTGGGGCGGGCGCATGCGCAGAATAAGAGACATCATTTACGGTAAGTGCTGACATTAACATGGAGGGGAAAAATTATTGCTGATCGACGATTGGTACGAGAGTGTGAGGAGCTTCCCGCTTTCCTCTGAACTAAATCGGATTGCCAGGTCCTCCTCCCATTTCGTGAGAAACCATGGTGTCGGGTCAGAAGAGCCCGAGATGAGTTGTTTGTAGCACATAGAGAGAACATGGTGAGCAGAGTCCTGTCGAGTGCACTCCGACTCGTATGGAGTGAGGGCTCTGGAGAGCTGTGAGGGGCGTGGCAGTGATCTGAGGAAGTGTGAGAGTTGCTGAGTTCTTCATGGGTCCAGAGGTGCGGGACCTTGGCGGGTGGGAACCCTGAACTCTGAGGACCAGGAAGCCCCCGCTAGGAAATGAAGTGCCCTTTCTTTACCCGGGGATTTGAGAGTTCGGAGTTTGGGGTCCTCCAATCCCGGTGGAAAGGCTGGATTGCCCAGGATCGGGAGCAGAGGCGAGGGGTCGG